GATTTCTGTGCATTTTTTTTACACATGCATTACATTAAAGTTTATTACGTCGATTAAGCATCATAAGGCGGAGGGTGGGGGGTGGTTCCCTATTTTTTTTTTTGCTTGGAGTTGGCAGCCCTGTTAGTTTGCTTAATATTTTTGCTAACTACTCTTTAAAATACCAGAATAGGGAGGATGGTGCAGGATTAAGTTTATTAGTGTTACGGTTTGGAGGAGGACTCAAGCGCAGGACTCCGGTTCTGATGCTCACAAGAAGGGTTTATTTACAATTCACCAGGTGCATATACAAGAATGTGCGGGGGGTGCTATATACAGCTGAGTGGGGGGAGAAGGGGTCTCCAGGGAAGTCCAGGGGAAAGCACGCGTTCTTCAGATTATCCACTCACACGATCACAGGCTCACACTCCGACACTGCCACACGGGGGAAAATCCAGGAAGCTCTGTAGACAGGGAGACAGGGTTAAGTACGACGCACAAAGGAAAACACTCTTAACTAAACTTGCTGTAGCTTGACTTCACTAACGCGTGGTAGACAACGATCCAGCAATGAACAGCAGTCACTTCCTGGCTTAAATGCTGCTCACCATAATGAGACCCAGGTGTCTCATCTCCCGAGGGCGTGGGCCGAGGGCGTGAACCCACAGTGAGTTCCGCCCCGGCGAGAGAGAAGAGGAGAGAAAGAGGAAGAGAGAGAGAGAGAAACAGAGTGAGTGCTGATAAGCGTGCAGCTGATCCGCCTGGGCGTGACATAGCGACGATAAAAGTTTGCGAACCCCAGAAAGCTTTAAAGCTGTCTACGGTTGGAAGGGGTCGGCCAGTCAACAACGGCTTGAACTTTTGCGGGATCAGTTTTGAGGTTACCCTGATCGATGACGTGCCCAGGGAGGAAACAGTTGAGACATGAAACTCACACTTCTTCCCTTTAACAAAGAGACGATTTTCGAGGAGACGCTGAAGGACTTGCCTGACATGGTGTTGGTGGTTGGCGACGGAGCAGGAAAAGATGAGGATGTCATCCAAGTAGATGAAAACGAAATGGTCGATGAAATCTCGGAGCACGTCGTTCACGAGAGCCTGAAACACAGCTGGAGCATTGGTGAAACCGAAAGGCATTACAAGATATTCGAAATGGCCCAGGTGAGTATTGAAAGCCGTCTTCCACTCGTCTCCCTCCCTAATCCTCACCAGATGGTAGGCGTTGCGCAGGTCCAACTTTGTGAAAATGGTGGCACCCTGGAGAAGCTCGAACGCGGAACTCAGCAGAGGGAGGGGATACTTGTTTTTAACTGTGATGGCGTTGAGGCCGCAACAGTCAATACAGGGCCGTAAACTCTTATCTTTCTTGGTGACAAAAAAGAAACCAGCGGCAACAGGTGAGGACGAGGGGCGAATGAGACCAGCGGCAAGTGACTCATTGATGTATTTTTCCATGCTTTCCCACTCCGGTCGAGACAGGCTGTACAACCTGGGTTGGGAGTGGCGCGCCTGGGAGGAGGTCAATCCCACAATCGTACGGCCGGTGAGGGGGGGGAGCGTGCCTTATCTTTACAAAACACTTGCGCCAGGTCGTGATAAACAGATGGTATGGAGGACAGATCAGGCGGTTCTGAAATAGTTTTATTGGGTGGTAGGCTCATGGCAGGGGTGGCGGCTTTTAAACAGGACATGTGACACTCCTCCCCCCACCCCAAAATACTTTCTTTCCTCCAATCGATCACAGGGTTATGTTGACATAGCCAGGGATAGCCTAAGACTAGTGGTGTGAGTGGGGCTTTAAAGACGTACAACTGTATGGTTTCAACGTGATTACCAGAAAGAGTCAGGGAAATCGGTTCTGTGACATGAGTAATGTCTGAAAGACGCTGGCCACTAAGGGCTGTGACTTGTCTCTGTGGCTTTTGAACCCTAAAACACCCCTTGGTCTAGCCCAAGGGTCAGGTCCTCTGACACAAACAGTAACATAGTGTACGCTGTTAACTACCAGGAGGATTTCCAGGATTTATACATCGGGTAAACCAAACAATCTCTGGAGAAGCAGATGGCATAACACAGAAGAGCTACCTCTTCAGGCCAGGACTCTGCAGTCTATCTACACCTACAGGCCAGTGGACACTCTTTCAATGATGAGGATGTACACATCCTGGACAGGGAGGAACGCT